TGTTGGAGTCGTGTACTGGTGGTGGTAGTTAGTGGTTGTTGTTCCCTTTCGCAGGTTTGCCTGTAACTTTTCCAGGGCGGTGGACGCTACTTGGGAGTAGTGTTGTCACGATACCAACATTTTGGTTTCGATACCGATACCAAGTCAAGAATTCCGATTCTTTTTCGATACTTTTCTTAAAAAAAGGGAAACAGTCTTAAATTGTATTATTGTGCTTTGTTTCACAACAGAACCATAACACAAACTTTTAAACAATGAGAACAATAAACAAAATAAATGACAATAATTCGTATTAAATCAAATTAAGCATCATCTCAAACAACTTTTTGGTTTTATAAAATATAATTTTTTNTCATTACTGGATCCGCGAGCTGCTGGCATAATAGATGGCCCGATCGGGCAACCAGCAGGTGAGGCTTCATTGCCCGAGCTAAATACTAGATGGCCCCGGGCCATCGGGCAGCCCTTAATGTCGAGCCCTGCAAAATGTACATTGCAGATGTTAGCCACATTGGTAAGTTAGCTAAAAAGATAGCCATATTAGACAGTTATCATTGCCATTAATTGCCTCGTCAAACTACGAAAACGTTCGTTTGTCACAAAATAAATTACACTTTTTTGACTTAGATTTGAGGGCATGGGCTTAAGCATGATGTAATTATGTTATCTATCACATTCGCAAACCTGTCTGTCTTTAAATTCTTTTAAACAGCTCTGGATGCCGGTCGGCGGGTGCCTAGCCAAGTTTGATGTGTTGGCTCCCTTGGTTTGCAGGGATCTGAAACATGTCTTACAGACAGGCCTCGTGGTGTCCGTAGGCTTGCCCTCACTGTGTTAGAGATATAATATTATCATTTTAGGCTTCTTGGAAGTTCTGTAAGAGTTGGTGAGGTCCTGATAATTTAATCCGGGAAATTACTCTTACCCACTAATTGACCTAACCGAAGTTATTGAGTCTATGTAAGTTTACTGCTTGGCTCAGATCCACCAACGTCAGCAAGGTCTCCCCTCTATTAACTCCTGAAGAACCAGGTTCAATGAACTGCTGTTTCAATTCAGACAACTCTCTTAAATCTGTTTAAGCGATCCCGAAGGATTTTGATATCAGTAAATGAGGTGTGGCCCTNTATACTAAACTTATCATGCTGTGTTCATGTTCTAATATGAAACCTTAATTCACAGTTTTACATTTATTACCATCATTTTTAACTTCAACTGCCCAATTCAGTTGTGATTTTTATAGAATTTTAGAGGTCTTACCTCATAAAAGATCGGTGATAATAAAAAGCA